AAGAAAAGTTTCCTTGACTCTGAAAAACAAAACAAAGAAGCAGCAACATTTTAAATAAAGTTATAAAGATAAGACTTCTTCAGTTTAGTCCATGTAGTTAAACTACTGTTTGATACTTATGAACATTTCAGTTCTCTATGAGAGTTCTAAAAGTTTTTTCCTCTATTCTGATGTCACAATCTCTAAAGTTATCAGAAACCCTGCATTTAAGAACACTGCTAGAGTTCTTTTTTTTTTTTTTGAGATGAAGTCTCACACTGTTGCCTGGGCTAAAGTGCAGTAGCGTGATCTCGGCTCACTGCAACCTCTGCTTCCCAGGTTCAAGCGACTCTCCTGCCTCAGCCTCCCAAGTAACTGGAATCACAGGTGCTCACCATGCCCAGCTAATTTTTTTGTATTTTTAGTAGAGATGGGGTTTCACTATGTTGGCCAGGCTGGTGTCGAACTCCTGACCTGATGATCCACCTGCCTCAGCCTCCCAAAGTGCTGAGATTACAGTGGCTCAAGCCACTGCACCCAGCCTAGAGTTCTATAGTTGATTATAAACCACCTTCTAAATAGGATTAAAACAAGACAATTGTCTATGGATGACAGAAAGTTTTAGGATAGTCACTATTAAAGCCACAATTGATAAAGACATTTGGTTACTTCTGTGGCACACAAAATTTCACATGACAATTATAATTATTAATAACATATACTAAGTTATATTAGAATTATAGGAGTTTCCCATTACTTTGGAACATATACCAATAACACATTTATACACATATAGTCCAAAGAAAGCAAAACACCATTTCACAGTTGATAATGCTTCCCGTATAATTTTTATACCAAATAAGCCAAATTTCACCTTTACATTAATATACTATTAATGTTAAACCCGATTTTTAATAAAACCTTATAGACGGCCAGGTGCAGTGGTTCAAGCCTGTAATCCCAGCATTTTAGGAGGCCAAGGCAGGTGGATCATGAGGTCAGGAGTTCAAGACAAGCCTGACCAACATGTTGAAACCCCGTCTCTACTAAAAATACAAAAATTAGCAAGGTGTGGTGGTGCATGCCTGTAGTCCCAGTTACTCGGGAGACTGAGGCAGGAGAATCGCTTGAACCCGGGAGGCAGAGGTTGCAATGAGCTGAGATTGCGCCACTGCACTCCAGCCTGGGCAACAGAGCAATACTCTGTCTGAAAACAAAAAACAAACCTTATAGACACATTTACCCAATTTTAATGTTTAGCCATAAAATTAGATTCTTATTCAGGGTTCAAGAAATTATCCTGTCTCGGCCTCCCGGTAACTGGAATTACAGGTGTACACCACCACACCCAGCTAATTTTTGTTTTGGAGAGGTGGGGTTTCACCATGTTGGTCAGGCTGGTCTTGAATTCCTGACCTCAGGTGATCTGCCCGCCTCCTCTTCCCAGAGTATTAGGATTATAGGTGTAAGCCACCGCACCCAGCCTATCCACTTTTAATTAAGCTGACTTTTAACTATAGTGCTCTTTAAAAAAGAAATCCTTTCAAATCTCTTATTACCCGACTTTAGCCATGCCAAGAAGCTAATATTTCTAGCCTCTGAACTTTACCAAAGGTAACTCCTAGGTGTGTAGAGAAAGGAAAATTTAAGAAAGTCTGTGGAGAAGAAAGGAATAGACAAATTCACACAGGTATTAAACTGAAACGACTTACTTCTTAGGTGGAGACTCGAACCCAACTGACATTGTGAAAGTGCTAAAACCTTAGTTACTGAGCTACAGCATGGGACAGTGCCCACTTCCTTTCACAGAAGTCTAGAGTAGTTAATTTTGAGCTTGCAAAGGCTTTTAACTATTTAATATGATTTTTAGAGCTGACTATGACATGAGCCCTAATATTCCTGTTCCCTGGAAGGCATAGACCAAGAGAAGATACCACCACATGGTTAAAAGGTCAAGCTCCCAAGGACATAAAACCAGGTGGAGACTTCATCCAGTTTGTTTGTTTCAGGGACCTGCAGCTGTTTGTTACTGACCAGCTTACTGGGTCCTCTCAAAAAACAGGCTGACAGGTGTTCTAAGCCCATGTTTTATCCTACAGAAAAATGAATTCGTAGCACAAAATATACCAGCTTAAGACTAGCCTTAGAATTTTTTTTCACACTAATCAAAACTTTACAGAGGAGATAAACACTGATTTATTTTTTTACCATTCATTCAACCATTTGCACAGAGAGAAAGAAGCCAGAAATCTGACTCATAACAAATTCTTACCCTATTGCTGGAATGCCAGCCTTCTGGGCTCTCTTTCTCTGAGTGTGATCTGGCTTATGGCACCATCGTCCTGGGGGCCAAGCCGCGTTATAAAGGAAAATTACTTTTTTTCATTCTGATGAGAGCAAAATAAAACACAGACATTAGCCACTCTGCTAAGCACCAATATTAAACTGGCAAGGCTTAACTTTGTCCCCAGATGGGCCTTATCATCTTTAATCCAACCTCTGACTTGGAGCTTCAACATGTAGTCTCTGGACAAGATGGTTGCCCTGAGTAACAGAAAACATAAAGGGAAAGGGAAAGCAAGGAAGGTGAAATGATCAGGGAGGCCAGAGAAAGACCCACCCATTGTAGTGACACTGAAGAGTTCAGACAGCTGCAGCTGCTGTCGTGAATGGATTTTTTTCCAGCAGTCCCGTCAGCTCTCGTTTCCCCTTTTGGGGGAGGAAAAAGCTCCCCATGTCCCACGATCCTGTACATACCTAACCCTGTCACCCACAGCCATCAGCAAAGAGTGCAAGGCAGATTAATCCAAAGAGAACAGCAGTTAATATCCCACAGTGCCGAACTTGTTCTTAGCTGAGAGGGACTTTACTGAGAGGGGCCTCTAACCCCCTAAACCTTAGAAGGGACTCTACCCCTTTTAAGTTGAGCCTTTAACCCAAGGTCAAGCATCCTTGCCTTTTATTAAGAGGGGCCTCTATCCCACTCTGTCTTAAAAGAGAGACTCTAACTCCCGTAAGTTGGGCGTCTAACCCAATCCCATTCTCTCTCTCTTTTTTTTTTTTTTTTATTTTTGAGACGGAGAATCGCTCTGTTGCCTGGCTGGAGTGCTATGGTGCAATCTCAGCTTACTGCAACCTCCACCTCCCAGGTTCAAGCAATTCTCCTGCTTCAGCCTCCCCAGTAGCTGGGACTACAGGCACATGCCACCACACCTGGCTAATTTTTGTATTTTTAGTAGAGACGGGGTTTCACCATGTTGGGCAGGATGGTCTCGATTTCTTGCCCTCATGATACACCCACCTCGGCCTCCCAAAGTGTTGCGATTACAGGCGTGAGCCACCACACCTGGCCCCCAATCCCTTTCTTTACTCAGGTACCCCACCACTTATCCAAAGTTGTCCAATCAGTGCTGCAGTCTATTTCCTTTGGGTCAGGGTTCTCCTCAGTATTGTCCCTTTTGTGGTTTGCGAGAAAGATGTTACTGGACCACACCACTTACCCAAAGTTAGCCTTTGGGTCAGAGGTGTCCAGAGTATAGTCTCTTCTGTGGTCACCAGAAATATGTTACATGACAGAGAAACATATTACAGGAAAGGGGTCCCAATCCATATCCCAAGAGAGGGTTCTTAGATCTCGAGCAAGAAGTAATTCAGGATGAATCCATGGTGCAAAATGAAAGCAAGTTTATTAAGAAAGTAAAGGAATAAAAGAATAGCTACTCCACAGGCAGAGCAGCCCCGATGGCTGCTGGTTGCCCATTTTTATGGTTATTTCTTAATGATATGCTAAAAAAAAAAATAGGGTGCATTATTCATGCCTCCCCTTTTCAGACTATATAGGGTAACTTCCTGACTTTGCCATGGCTTTTTTTTTTTTTTTGAGATGGAGTTTCACTCTTGTTGCCCAGGCTGGAGTGCAATAGCCCGATCTCAGCTCACTGCAGCCTCTGCCTCCTGGGTTCAAGAGATTCTTCTGTCTCAGCCTCCCAAGTAGCTGGGATTACAGACATGCACCATCACGCCTGGCTAAATTAGTATTTTTAGTAGAGACAGGGTTGCTCCATGTTGGTCAAGCTGGTGTTGAACTCCCAACCTCAGGTGATCTTGCCCACCTCGGCCTCCCAAAGTGCTGGGATTACAGGCGTAAGCCACCGCACCCGGCTTGCCATGGCATTTGTAAACTGTCGTGGCACTGTTGGGAGTGCAGCAGTGCAGAAAACCAGAGGTCACTCTTGTCACCATTTTGGTTTTGGCTGGCTCCTTTACTGCAACCTGCTTTATCAGCAAGGTCTTTATGACCTGTATTTTGTGCCAGCCTCCTATCTCATCCTGTGACTTGGAATGCCTTAACTGTCTGGGAATGCAGCCCACTAAGTTTTAGCCTCATTTTACCCACCTCTTATTTAAGATGGAGTTGTTCTGATTCATACACCTCTGACAAAACCATTTAATTTAAAGAGTCATAAATATGTGAAAAAGAGAATTATGTCTTTATCAATTTCCAAAAATTTCTATTGCCAATGATGAATAACAGTGTTCCTTGCACACTAATTTAGCCAAAAATATGTCTCCAGAAGTATTTTATAGAGAACATCATGTAGGAAATGGACCCCATCTCCACTCCTTGACTATTTTCTTTTCTTTTCTTTTCTTTTCTTTTGAGACAAAGTCTTGCTCTGTTGCCCAGGCTACAGTGCAGTGGCACAATCTCAACAGCCCACTGCAACCTCCGCCTCCCAGGTTCAAGCAATTCTCTGCCTCAGCCTCCTGAGTAGCTAGGATTACAGGCGCGTGCCACCAAGCCCAGCTAATTTTTGTATTTTTAGTAGAGACAGGGTTTCGCCATCTTGGCCAGGCTGGTCTCGAACTCGTGACCTCAAGTGATCTGCCGCCTCGGCCTCCCAAAGTGCTGAAATTACAGGCGTGAGCCACCGTGCCGAGCCTTCTTTGACTGTTTTCAACCTCAAAATTAAATCTCTTGGGGAGTACTTTCTGCACACCGTTTCTATTTTCATAACCATACATATCCTCAAACCACTGAAACCTGGACTTTATTCTCCATTTTCATAGTCATGAAAAGGAAAAAAAAAGTTATTGATGGGGAGTACTATGACTTTGCATAATATAGATATCTTCACGTAATCTAGGATTGTTAAAAATTCCTAACATGACTTTATTGGTCTCTGGTCTTCAATCAGTTAATGCTGGGTTGGGCCGGGGTTCACGTCTTTCCCGCCACTTATCCATCTACGCTCATTCTTTTCATAGCCTCACCCAATCTCGTGACTTGAAGTAACAGTTTACGGTAACAACTCCCAAATTCATATGTCCACGCTCCAGCCCCATGCCGAATCATAGGTTGTGTATATGGCACTACGCTTTGTGGTCTTACAGACGTTCCAAGCTGATCACACTCGACATGGGAGTCCTGGGCTTCCCTTCAAGCCTGCTGCACTAGCAGCCGCCCCACCTCAGGGTACGGGAAGTCCACACGTGGCGAACGCCGAGCGCATTACATCACTCGGAAGTCCCCGCATCCTGTGAAGACTGAGCGCGGACAAAGGAGGCCCGCGAGAGGGCGGTCTGTCTTTTCCAGCAGGTTGGGGCACACTGTCAGGCGTCCTCCTTTGGGTGGCTATTTTAACTGCTCATTTATCCTTTCCTTCTATGAAAAGATCCCGAAAAGAGGCAAAGTGAGCGAGAAGTCGCGGGCCCAGCCCACAGCAGGGTAAGCACCTTTGTTTGGGATCTGAATCAGGGGCGAAATCCCCGTCTCGTAACCTCGATTTTCCTGAGCTAGAAGGGACCTGTCGACCCTCCGACTTATGCCCACAGTAAAGCGGCGGCCCAAAGACGACGTGGGGGGTCTTTGTGCGCACTTACGTGGAGTCGGATGCGCTTGGTGAGTTTCCACACCCAGCAGATGTAAAGAAAAACTGCATTACCCAGAAGGCACCGCCCTTGCGTCGGCCGCGGACTCTGGGCCAATGACGGCCCAGGACAGGAGCGATTTTCTGCGGGTCCTGCGGAGGCGGGACTTCCGCTTCTTCGCGTGACGTCATCTCCCCGAGCCGGATTGGCCCTGAAACAGTGCGGGGCCTGGAGCGCTGGGTGGGCGCGTTCAGCGGCCTTAGCGGCCGAGGGTAGTGAAGCGGTTACGCCCCTTCCCCGCGTCTTGGCGGGAGCTTGACGCCCCGCTTCTTCACTAACGGGTTGTCCCACCGGCGCCCGCCGGGGCCTAGGCCTTCGTAGCCGCCTTCCGCCTCCTCAGCTCCGACGCTGCGCCCTGGGCCTTGTGCGCATTTTTTTTCGGGGGAAACTGAGGCTCGGAGTGCGAAAGTCAGCCGAGGTAGACCCGCCCAGGACAGACAAGGGCTGTGGTCGGCTGATCCGCGGCATTCTTGGGATGGCGGCGGCGTGGATGGCTCCGACGCAGGTGAGTGGAGGCTTCGGCCTTGCTGCTGCACTGCTATTTCTGGAGGTCCCGTGGGCAGGCTGGAAGCCAAGACAGCCACAGGATTCTTCTTTGTCGCCATCGTATATTTAAGAGAAGCGGCTGTGGCTTGTCATTTTCTTTATTCGCAGTCCTGCGGCAGTGTTGGCCTCTGATAGGTGTTCAGTCCGTGATTGAAAGAGGATTGTTGGTTCCTTCTACGGATCTCATCACGCTTCCCCTAAATCCAACCTTCTCTGTTGCCTGCTTACCCTGTTGCCTGCCAGCCCGTACGCCATCCACATGGCCAAGCACCCCTGACCTTGTTTCTTTGCGGTTTTTTTCTGGTCCTGTGCTCTTCAGAGCCACCAACCTGACGGTGCGGAGTCCTCTTCCCCTTCCCAGCCTTTCTCCTTGCACTTCTTTTTACCTCGAACACTGCTCCTATAACTCTTCAGGGCCTCCCTCTCACACCTTCCGGCCTCTGTCCCGATGTCACATATTTGGAGTTGCCTGTCTTCGCAATTCCGGCTAAAGTGGCGCCTTATGCCCTTGCCCAGAGTCTGGCATTTTTGTATTGAGAATCTGATGGTATTAAAGAAGCTTGTGGATTTGAGTTTGTCCAGGATGTAATGGGAACAAAAATAATTACGAAGAATGATAGTAACTGACTGTCATTGAGCTCTTGCTGTGGGCCGATCGGTGGGGATTATTTAACCCTCAACTCGGTTAATCCTGAATTTTTTAAAATTTATTTGTTTTTCTTTTTTGAGACGGAGTCTTGCTCTGTCGCTCAGGCTGGAGTGCAGTAGCACAACGTCGGCTCACTGCAACTTCCACCTTCTGGGTTCAGGGGATTCTCCTTCCTCAGCCTCTCGAGTAGCCGGCACTACAGGCACTTGCCACCAAACCCGGCTAATTTTTGTTTGTTTGTTTGTTTGTTTTGAGATGGAGTCTCGCTCTTGCCTTCGCAGACTGGAAGAGTTCCTTGGAGTTCCTTGCTCCTGGAATATTCTGGCCTCAGGGATACCTGCTAGTAGGACTAAGGCAGAAAAATTAAGTGAAGGCTCATGGTGAATTCTCCCTGGAAGCAGGGCCAGGCCCTAACACCTGCTTAGGCGGTGGCAGTGGCACCACCTCAGGTGACTCTTTGGTGAAGTGAGTGATGATGACTATACTTCTCTGCCCTTGTCCATGGGAGTGGCTGAAGTGGATATATGGATTTGAAATGCTTCTAATCCTCATTAACTGTATTAACTTTGCTAATGAAGAAATGTCATGTGCAAAATGGGGAAACCCTGCCTCTAAAAAAAAATACAAAAAATTAGCTTGGTGTGGTGTCACGTGCCTTTAGTCCCAGCTGTACAAGAGGCTGAGGTGGGAGGATTAGTGGACCCCAGGAGGTTGGGGCTACAGTCAGCCAAGACCGTCCCAGTAAACTCCAACCTGGGTGACAAAGTAAAACCATTAAAAAAAAAAAAAAGAAAAAGAAAAAAGATATAAAGACATGTGACTTTGGGTAGACTGGTAGAACTTCTAGGCCTCAGGTCTCTATGACATGGAGATGATGATGGTAAACTCAGGGGCTGTGGCCCTTTGCCTCAGTGTTTTGTTGTTGTTGTTGTTTTCTTTTAACAGTTTTTCTTTAGTTCTTTTGACTACTTTTTTTTTTTTTTTTTTTTTTTTTTTTTTTTTTTTTTTTT